CACTCATTTCCTTAAGGTGCAATTTAAGATGTAGCTTCTGTAGCAAATCTAAACTTAACCCAACCTAATTACTTGTTTCCCCCTTCATTATTTAAATTACTTGTACTTTTCAACTATATACTTGCTTCTACCTTGTTTTGAAACATTATAATTACTTCTTAATGGCTTTGTATCTTTTTATTTTATTTTCTAATTAGAACATAAGCTATTAATGTACTACATAGAAAGGCACCAAGGGTTAAGAATATTGTTCAGTTTTTTTTTTATTGATGAATGATAGGTACCTAAAACAATTCCAGGAATACAGAAGTGCTCAATCAATCTTTCCTGATAAAAGATAGGACTATGCCTCCTTCCATCGTTGAGTCTTTTCAAAATTCCAAATGTAATACCATAAATATCCGTACATGAAAATTTAAATGTTGTTAAACAAATAAGCCTGAATTTCTGAAAATTCAGAAGATTCAAAAATTAATGAGGAGACAATGGAGAAGGGCTATAGAACATCACTGTTCTTTTCATCACATGCTTGCAGTGATTCTCTGTCATAAATGCATATATGGTGTTACCTGATAAACAGAAAGCAAGTGATTTAATTCAGACCTAGGCTTTGAAATGCTACCTTCAGTTGTAAAGAACTACTAAACTTTTTTCTCCTACAAAACTATGAATTAAGAATAACCAAGTAAAAAAAAAAAACACTGCTGTGGTGGACTGACTACTGGGGGTTAACTTGTAACACCCAGCTGAACTGAGCGAGGGTGGTGCTGAATGTAGGAGGCCCACCTGAGGGTTGTTGCCAACAACATAAAAAGAGGTGCTGTCACAGTGCTATGGGTTCTCCTGGAAGAGCTTGTCATGCTGGCTTTCCTGACTGGAACTTGGCTGTTCTCATCGTCAAAGGAGCTCAGGACCTTGTTGTCACTGAGAATGGCTACAGTTTGGGGGAGCTCTGATCCTTTGAGCATTGCTTCCTGTCTCTGGAAGGGAAGATGGTATGCACTGTTCAATGTCCAGGAGAAGCTTGTCATGCTGGCTTTCTTGATATGGACTCTGGTGTTCTCAGCGTTGGAGGAGCCTGGGACCTCATTGTCCCTGAGGATGGTTGTGGTACCTTATGGGGAAGCTCCAGTGCTTACTTTTAGTGTTGCTCCCTGGCTCCAGTGCTGATTCCTCAGCCTGCTAACACAGATCCTTCATCACACTGGCACAGACATTCTAGCTTCCACCACTGACCTTTGGGCCTTCCCAGAGCAGATCTGTGAAACACAGTTGCATGGGACACTGTCATGGATGCTTGGCTTCCAGTTGGACTTGTAGGGGTCATTGTGATGGGCTCTGGGTCTTTAGCTGGACTCATGCAGAATATTTACACGGGATCCAGGCCCTCAGCTGGATTCTTTAGGTCTTTAGTGTGTGGACAGACTTCCTGCACTTTTTTGTATATGGCTCTTTAGGTGACTGTTACACAATAATCCTGTAAATTATGTGTCCTGTACTATATGGTTTCCCTTGCAAACCCTGACTACAACAACTGTTTTACTCTAGTTTTATAAAAAGAAAAGGAAGCAACTTTAACTTCTAAAAAAAAAGTACTTTTTTCGTCCCCCACCATACCACATGGAGGGTTAAAAACAGTACTGTAATGTTTTCAAGTCTTTTAGAAATATACCCAGAAAGGGAATAGCTGAATTGAATGGGACCTCTAATCCTAGTTTTTTGAGGAATCTCCACACTGATTTCCACAGTGGTTGTACCAGTCGACACTCCCACTAACAGTGGAAAAGGGTTCCTTTTCCCCCACAGCCTCTCCAGCATTTGTTATTGGTTGATTTCTTGATGATAGCAATATATGTGCACCCATGTTTATAGCAGCACAATTTGTAACAGCTGAATTTTGGAAACAACCCAGATGCCCATCACCTGAGGAGTGGATAAAAAAGATGTGATATTTTTACATAATGGAACATTACTCAGCTATAAAGAAAGATAAACACAAGGCTTTGATAGGTAAAGGGATGCAACTAGAGATCAAACTCATAAGTGAAATAAATCAGACCAACATGTGTAAACATCATATTGTCCCCCTAGTGTAAGAAACTGAAAGAGTAAATAAAATCCAAAAGGTACAACAGATACTGTGAGAGGAAAAGGAACGGCTCAAAAGAAAAGAACAACTGGGATGGGGGAAAGGAGAAAAGAAAGAAAGAAGGGGGAAATATATATATATACACACGACAGCTAAGATAATTGTACTATTAATTTCTACTAGATTATTGAAAGGAACAGTTATTGTTTAATTGATCAATTTTGCATCCCTATATCTGGTAATATGAACAACTATTTTGAAGATAACAATATGCAATATAACAACCATTGTTAATATCCCCTCAACTTGTTTTGAAATTCTGTATTGTTTGCATTTTTATTCTCTTTAAAAATAAATAAATAAATAAATAATTTTTAAAAACAGGATTATATATTTCCTGAAGAAATACAAAAGAATCATTTTTGAGCCAAGCACATTTAGTAACTATTTACTGCTATGGTTATATTAAAAGTTAATCATTTAAAGAGAAACATGGGTTTTTCTAAAAATTACCTAGAAATGATCAGTTTACATAAGTATGTTTTCTAGTATATATAAAACTCTGTCAAGTAGCAAAGATCTAGCTCTTCCACAGACAGGACTTCACAGAAAACATCACCATGGTTGAACTATCACTGTGGTAACATTTCTAAAGAGTCAATATAGTTTTCTTTTAATCATGTTAACACATATATTATTCTATACCCACGAAAAGGTAACAGTGATATTAGAATATCTAACAAATCATTGCTGATTGCTCACTCCTGGAGGTTTTAGCTACAATGCTATTTTAATAGTCAAATTCATTAAAATTAAGCAAGACTAATATTGACCAGAAAACACAAGTCTATGTAAGGAATCAAGTGAGGAAAATTAAACAGTAGATGAGTGGGTTTTGGAGATTTAAGTCCCAATCCTAGCTCTCCCATTTCCTAGCTGCTACATCACAGGCAAGTGTTCTAACTTCTCTGAACCTCAGTTTATCTACAAGGTGACCATTATAATTAATCACCCACAGAGTTATCATGAAGATTTACAGACTTGAACTCATTTTGAGGCCCACGATGGCCTTGAACTCTCAGTAACCCTCCTGCCTCAGCCTCCCAAGGACTGGGATTACAGGCATGTGCCATCACACCCAGCCTTCAATACATTTTGTTTTGTCTCAATTTTATACTTCCCAAAGTCAAATTATTAAATTAAAACTAATTAGCCTATTTACAAATACTTACTAAATGTCCCTTTATACTTGCTGAACTGTGAAATAGTTTTTCAACCCTAAAATATCACAGATTTATAAGAAACCTTCCATTTTAAGAAGTGATAATGTAGAAAATAGCAGATGATGACTATGAGGTGCCACTTAGATGACACATTCCATTTTTAGAGTTCTTAGAATACAGGGGAGAAAAGTTATGCATCTGTGTTATTTTAGAAACTGAAGGTCAAGAATGCTCACACATTTTGCCCACTGTTGATACAATACCTGTTAATTAGGTTGGGCATGTAGAGAAACACCAAATAAGTGGGGAAGAAATGCATCAAAAACCAATGCATTAACTACTTCTTCCCCATTAAGGAAATAAGAACTTATATAATATTACTGATAAATTCAGGTGATTTTACTTATCAAGCTGTGCTAAACATTTCTCCAACCTTCCTGTAACAGAAGGTAACATTCAAAACTTCATTGTCCCCAAGAATATATAATAATTCCTAAAATCTGAGACTCATTTTCAGAACTTCAAAGCAGATAAATATTTTTTACCTTATTACTGGTAAAACTTCATTTTCTAAACATAGAACATACTTCAATTTATTGATAATACAAAATAATCAACTGTCTTTATAGACAAAATGTATACTTAAAAACATATATGTTTTGTAACAGTAAGTTGTCAATATATAATTAAATATTTAATGATGCATTATTTTGTAAATGATGGCACATTTGTGCCTAATGAGCAAATATTATCAACCAACCAAATATACAAACATATAGTAATCAATTGCACTTCATTCCTTAGTCACTTATACCTACTATTAAATATTTAGGCTACTGAATTATAAATATTACATTAAGTAACAATTTAATTTCAGAATAGTAAGTGCCATATAGTTTATCCTTAAGTATTTCTTAGTAGACTCGAACAAAGAACATAGCAATATAACATTACATTCAACCTCAACCTAAATAATGTCTCAGTGAAAGAGCAAATAAATAAAAGGACAAAGTGGTAATCAGCCCAGTAAAAATTCTGAAACAGAAATTTTTTTCAGGTGATAGTTTTTTAAAGAACAGACAGGAGCATTTAGAAAGTCAACCTCAGAATATACATCTTAACACCACCTCACTATAAGAAGCACACAATTCTCTCCCTCTTTCTCTCTAAAATGGTAAAAAAAATCACGATTCATATTATTTTATCCTAAGAAATAAATACCAATTCTGTACATATAAGACAAAAGAAATAAGATGCCACGGACTGAACCCAAGTCCTTCACACTGAGCTATAGCCCCCTCCCCTTTCTTTTTAATTTTCAGACAAGCTCTCACTAAGTTATCAAGTTACTCTGGTTGGGTCTGAATATATAATCCTGCTTTAGACTCCAGCATAATGAGAGTACACCAAGCCTGACTTGTAGGAGTTGTTATTAACAAATGATATTTTTAAAAGTAAAAACAATTGATAATGAAAGTTTAAGAAGCTCAGCAATTTACTTTTAACCTAAGATCTGGTTCCATGCACTATTAACTAAAATACATCTGTATATCAGGTACATTCTAGCTTATTTACATCAAGTATTTCTCCATCTGTCACACAAAGCACCACAGAATTCACATGGTATACTTTGAAAATTGCAAACTACTCATTAGCAGCAAATAATTATATCAAAATTTTCATCTTACCTCTCCATTCCTTAATGTTGTAATGGTTCCTCTCGCCACACCCATTCTAAATAGTGTTTCTGTGGCCTGTGGGGAAGAAAGGTAGCAGATGTAATTTGAATACAAATACGTATCTCACCCTCAAAAGGTAAAAAAGAAAAAACTTCCCAAGTATTACATGGCCTGAAACTTCTAGAGAGCCACCAAAAGAGAACTGTAAGCAAGATTTTCTAAATTATACCCTAGAAATATCATTTCTACTCTTTTAATGTTAACAAGAGTCTAAAGTGAACTATCTAAAGGCCTTACTTTGATATGCTGGTATATTTTCAGGTGTATAGTTTTAAATTAGTTCATTTAAATAAGTTTAAACAAAACCCCAATGCCATTTTTTACAGAAATAGGCAAGCCCACCCTAAAATTCACAGAGAACCTTATGATTAGGGGGAATAAAGACAAGTACTGTAATAAGAAAAGTTGTATAATGGCTCACCATGAACAACACCTCCCTATGAACAAGTTACATACTTTGCATAAAACATGGTAAGTTCTCTTTTAATCAAAATATGTATGTTGCAGTATTGTAAGCATTACCATCCTGACCCCTAGAGCACCAAGGAGATCCAAGTCCAATGTTCTGTAATAAGAAACCAATGGTGCACAAGAGTGAATCAAGAATAGCAGTAGAGGAGAAAGATGGCAGAGCAGTGAGTGCCGGCAGCTCGGCTTCTCCAGGACAAAGTGTCCTGACTCTGCAGGACAATGGCTTAGAGAGGAATAGAAGGAAGAGGGGGATACATAAGGCACCACAAGGAACTAACAGAGGACAAGAAAATATGATTAAGTGATATAGAAGAGATGATCCACACCATAGAGGAGAAATGTGCTGAACACCAGGAGGCAAACTGAAAGTAATAACTGCTCTGCTCACAGAGAACTGCATCAGGAACAGGAGAATCTTTTGGGGTTGGAGACACTGGGAAGAATGCGAGACACTGCTTCCCAAATGGCACTCCAGAGGCAGCAGTCAGTGAGCAGCTGCAGTACAAATGCCCCAGGACACAGTCGCACAGAGCAGCTGACGAAGCCACCATTGTGGGAAGGGCTGGGTATGGAACTTCAGTCCCACAGCAGCCCCTTGGTGGCTTCACACTGCCATATTCCCAGAGGGGATGAGGAATGGACAGTCATAAGAGACTGCTGGCAGTTGGAGAGCAGACCTGGGGGCAGTCCCACGCAGAGGGAGGGACTGGTGATCACAGACTTGGTTCCTGCCATCAGGACACCAGTCTCAGCCTGAGTTACACAGGACTGGAGCTTCACACTGGTGCCATGTTCCCATTGCTAAAGGGAGACCGAGAAATAAGGTCTTATGTTATTTCTCAATTAGCCCTGATATAATTCACTGTAATAAATTAGCCTCTACCGTTGTAGTTCAACTGATTGCATAGGAATAATCTTGACGTGGTGGTAATTTAGTGCCAGTGAGCTTGTCTGCCGAATCCACCTTCTTACCCAGGGAAAGGGACAGCAAGAGTTCCTAACCTAGGAACTCAGACTAAAACTCTACAAGAATGCCTGCAACCTGGCAGATAAGGTCCTTAGTCTGAGTTGACTTCAGTTTTGTAGTGAGGGATCAGGATAGTAATTGGGGTGTGAGCACATGGATATTCTGACAAAGAAGCTACTGGGGAATCACATATGTCATGTATCACTGTAATATTTAATTTGTATTCCCATAAGACAACTTATTGGTTTAAATTTTGTACATTTCTTGAATTATTTAGTAATGTGGGGTTATGTCATGTTCTTCTATGGTTTCATGCGTACACATGGGTATTCCTCATGCACATATGTTCGTTCACTGGCTCTGATTTAATAGGTGTCAAGCTTCTCTCCCTCAGCTCAGCTCTTTACCTAGTTTCTTCACTCCAAAGCCCAAGACAATATTAACATATGTCTTTATCCTTTTTCCAAACATGTAAACTCCACCTCCCAAGTTTTTAAATTACCATACTTAGCCCCTTGCAGTCACTCTTATATTTATGAGTATCATTTCTTGATCCTCTACATCCTAAGCTTTTGGCTCTTCCATATCTTACCTAATTTATTTTCCTCTCTATAAACAAATTCTGAGAACCACATAGCTTTCCTCAATCACAAAGAGAATCACTTTTCCCCCTATCTCATCCTTGCCCCCACAAAATACTCTCTGAAAACATTCAGTCCTAAACCTTCAACTCAACTAAAGGTACTTCAATAAAATCAGAAGGCACAGCAATGTTATCTTCTCATCTACTACTAGCCTTCCTTTCAAAATTCTCCCTTAGTGCCTAATACAATTCATACAAACACCCTCCATTCTCCCCAACTCACCTCACCTACCTCACTGCAGAGAAACCAAAAGTAATAACAGTGCATATAGAACAGAAAAAAGGAGTAAGATAACTTCAAAGAATATCATATAGAAGTGCTAAAGGACTGAATATGTATATGGATGCTGTTATAAATGAAAGCAATTATTTGGAAAAAACATAGTGACAGAGTCAAAATCACTTAAACAAAATAACCATAAATATTAGCACTGGACATATGAAGCTAAAAATTATTCACAAGGAGATAACATCCTACTAAAAATCTCCACATAGGCCACAAACTCTCATTTTTCTAGTCTTTAAACTGCAGTAACTGCTGCCCAAAAAAAGAAGAGAAAGAGCGGTCCACATATAATAAACACAGATACAAGTAGGAGAAAGAAAAATCTTGGAAATAGATCTCTGAACCCCACTAACCCCCCCAAGGCAGAACAAGGAGTCACAAAAAGAAAAAAACAGGTAGCAGAAATGTATGAAAAGTTCTTAGAAGGGATGCAGAAAACAGATGAGTTCAAAGAGGAAATGAAACAAAAGTTTACAGCTATTGCACTCAATATGCCAATGGTGAATTCTGTGGAAGAAAGTAAAAACTGGATGAGCAAGCCAAAACAGTTCAAAATATGAACAGATTCAACAAGGACATGTAATCCTTCAAAAGATGTCAGACAGAGATTCCTAAGATAAGAGACAGTACAGAACTCATACACTGCAGAAATGACCAATGTGATAACAGTGTCTGACACTAAGGACAAAATAATAAATTACAATAAAGAGCTCAAAGAAGCCAAAAAGAACAAGAGAAGACTATCTAACAGCTACTATATGACAACAAGCAGACCAACTTAAGGCTAATTGGAGTTAGACAAAAATCTAGAAGACTGCACATTTGGATTTACTAACATGAGCACCTATGTTCATAAAACAAAAACTACTGAAATTACAAGATCAAATAACTATTAATACAATCATATTAGGGGTTTTTAACACTGCACTTTCACAAAGACATAGATCAACTATACACACAAAAACCAGCATCAGAAATTTCAGAGCTGAATCACATCCTTGAACATAGAGACTTAATGAAAATACACAGAGTAGTCTACTTCTCTACAACAGAGTATGCATTTTTTTCAGCAGCACATGGTACTTTTTCCAAAATACATCAGAAACTATTCCACAACCCCTGCTTAAGTAAATATAAAAGAATAGGAGTCACTCAATGAATACTATCCAACCACTGTACAATAAAAATAGAAATCAACAACAGAAAAAATTTCAGAAAAGGTAAAAGCTTCTGGAAAATTAATAACATACTCCTGAAAAATAGGTACAGAATAAATCAAAGAAGTTTTAGAATTTCTGGAAGCTAATGACAATGACTGCACAACTCAGTGAAACCTGTGGGACACTGGAAGGCAGTTCTAAAAGAAAAATTCATCAACCAATGCTCAGATTAAGGAAACAGAGCAAGCCCAAATAAATAACCTTGTGAGAAACCTTAATATACTTAAGAAACAACAACAAACCAGCCCCAATCGGAAACTCGGGAGGGAAAATATAAAGATGAAAGAATAACTCAATGAAATTGAATCTTAAAAACTTGTAAAAAAAAAAAAAAAAAAACTACAAATCAAAGAGCTGGTTCGTCAAAATAATACATAAAATATGTAAGCCCTTAGCAAGACTCACTAGGAGAAACAGAAGACTCACATCAATGCAACTGTAAATGAAAAAAGTGAAATCACAATAGACACTGTCAAAATCCAGAAGATAGATTGTAACTACTTCAAAAGGTAATATTCCAACGTATTAGCAAATTTTGAAGAAAAGGACAGATTCCTAGACATGGACAAACTATCTAAACTAAGCCAAGAAGACATAAATATGCTTAATAACCCATTAACAAGCAATGAAATAAACTTGGTAATAAAGAATCTACCAATAAAAAAAAAAGGCTAGGACCTGACAGATTCACTGCTGAATTTTATAAAACCTTTAAGGATATTATATCACCAACACTCCTCAAGCTTTTCAAAGAAATTGAAAGGGATGGAGTGCTCCCAAATTCATTTATGGAATCCAGTATCACTCTGATCCCTAAACCAGGTAAAGACCCAACTAGAAAAGAGAACTGCAGGCCAGTCTCTTTTAATGAACACAGATACATTTAGTAATTAAAAATAACTACTAAATATGAATTCATCAAGAAAATCTATTCTAAATATTTAGAATATGTTTTGTTTGTTGTATACTTAGTTTTATAAGTAATAACATCAAATATAATTTCAGCTCAATAGTAATTTCTGGCAGAGCATTTTATTTTCTACTACAAGCTAAGACCCCCAATCCAAAAATCCAAAATACACACTCAATACCAACATGTTGCAACAAGTGGAAAATTCTACACCTAATCTCACTCTGGGTATAGTTAAAATATAAGCACACTACCAAAATTTCCTTTTGAGTCTCTGATTATACAAATATTAGATTGTATCTTTTACTATTATCTCACAATCCTTTGAGTCTCCATTCAATTGTTTTTCAATCATGTCTTCTCTCTGTAATGTAGAATGGATAATTCCTGATTTATCTTCACATTCATTACTTTCCTCTTATCTCATGTCTATTCTACTATAGAACCCATCCTTTGAAATTTTTAATTTTAGATACTGTATTTTTCAGTTCCAAAGTTTCCATTTTTTAAAATAGTTT